GGGGTGAAAAAGGGGGAGGAAGGGAAAGGGGGGGAAGTGAGGAATAAAAGGGAGAATGGAGGGAAAGTGCGGGGAGGAGAAACCGTCAGGAAGCAAAGAGCGGGGTCCCGGGGGGCCGCGGGCTGTCGGCGGGAAGGGACACCCGGGCTGAAGCGTCCTGTGGCAGGAGAGCGGAGAGCCCCGGGGCAAACCCTGCGGTCAGAGGCCCCGGGGAGCTGCGCAGGGGGCTCGGGGCTCAGGTGGGCGGTGGGCAGGGAGCGGGGCTCAGGGGTCAGGACGGTTCCACGGGGCCCCTGAGGCCTTTCACAGGGCTTGACTGGACTGAGGGTTTTATCTGATCGTGGTGACTAACGGAATTTCTGTTTCAAATTGTCGTCTTGTCTCCTTGGTTTTGTATCCACCTGCAGTGCAAGCTGGTAGGTGTTGCTGTTGGGAGCGAGAGGGGGTTCTGGGTTTAACTCGATCCTGGTATGTAACTGCAGTTTCCTCTCCCAGCAGAAACGCCCGTCCTTCAATACTGCAGCAAGTACTGTGTTAGCGAATTAAGACAAAAGCAGATTTACCGAGTTACCCAATCCCAACCCCTGCTTTTGCAGGCAGCCCTCTGTCCACTCGAGCTGGAACCCATCCCCCCTGAGGAGCCTTATTTTAGGGCTCTTCCAGGTGCCAGGAAGACAAAACATTTGATAAAACACAACTCCTTTGATAAAACATTCACTGCTGGCGGGTGGGCCCTGAGGCTCTTGCCCGTTACTTGGAAGGCCACTTTGAAGAGAAAGAGGAGCATACAAAAGTGTATAAATATAGGCAAAGCAACGTGCTGAAAACATCTTTTTGTTTTAAATTGCTCAACATTCCTACTCCTCTCCCTCCCAAAAACCCAAATGTAAGTAGCAACACCCTGATTTTTTAGATATTTTTTTTTTTAAGACGGTAGAATTCATCTTTAACACAGGAAGCATTCCTTAGATCTCGGGTTATTCTGGGGAGAGTGCAGGGTATTTTTGAGAGATCAGTTGACAAGGAAGGCGTTCAGCTTGCATTAAACATTTTGACAAGCAGGTGAGTAGCAAACGTGCTGATAATTCTCCTCTCTGTAGTTCTTCAGTTTTGCGTTTTCCCCTCGGGATCTGACGAGTGCAGCGTCAGTCATTTTCCTTTGCGAAAGGCAGAAATCACGAACCCACACACCAGGTTCAACGCTGTTTTCTTCTCCACTTTCAGAGTTTGGAGCCTCTTCCAATGGGGGGGCCGGACTTTGGTGCCTTGGGAGAGGAAGCTGAGCTGGTTGAAGTTGAACCGGAGGCCAAGCAGGAAATTCTGGAAAACAAAGATGTAAGTACCGGCACAACACGATGATTTTGTTGGGAAGGGAAATGTCTTCCCACCCTTGTTGATTGTTTTCCGAAGGGAACTTTCGAAAGTCTGCTTTGAGATGTGAGGGAATTAAATTCCGCACGGTGAATTTAATCCGGTGGTGCCTGGTTCCTGTTCTTCTTTTCCCTGCGGCGGGAGTTACTGGCCTCAGCTGGGAGCCAGTAGAACTGTTGGCAGGTGCTGATTTCCCCTCCCTCCTCAGAGATTTTGCTCAGCAGCAAACCCAGCAACTGTCCCTGAGCGGCGGGCGGGCGCGGTGTAGCCGCCGTAGGGTACAGTCCCACCGCGTGAATGATGGCGCTGACCTCAGCGGAGGAGGGGAACTTTTTTTTTAAAAAAAAATTCAGATGTAAGAGCATGTCTGTCTTGGCCCCTAACGCATTTAGCTGTGCTAGTGGGGTGAGGTACCCAGCACTGTTACCTTAATTTTCATGAAAGTTTTCCTTTCCCTTGTGCTGTTCAGAGTCATCCTCACTAGAAGCTTGGTAACATTTATTTGGTTCATTACATCTATATATTCTGATCGGGCTTTTTAAGCAGTTTGCAGTAATCCAAAGTTGCTCTTACTCTGCTGGTTTATTATATGTAAATACACGAAACATTTGCAGGTTTTGGGTTTTTTTTTGACGCTTACCCCTAAAACTATAATATGCTGAAAAGGTTGGAAAAACAAGGGCAATGCAATCACTGGAGTCGATTTGCAGCAGCTGACCTGGGATGGGTTGACATTTTTAAGATGAAATCATCTCAGATGATTTCACAGAATCATATCGGTTGGAGAAGACCTTGAAGATCACCCGGTCCAACCACTGACCTCCCATTTGTGACAAGATGAACGCTTTTAAGAACACATAAACCCTCACGATGGCAGTGATGCTAATACGCATTTTAAGCTACAGTGCTCTGGTAATAGCAATAATTTCAGTAGTTACAGTTTAAACATTTATGGCTTGTGAGTGTTTGTTTTTTCTTTTAACGCTTTTGTGTCGCTGAGACAAGATACAGCTGAACTGGGACTGATTGGTGGCATGTTTTCCCTTACATGTCTTAACACTTGAGTGTGATTTCTGCAGTGATTTATTTGTCTGTACAACACTTAGGACTGAAGTCTCAGCTGCAGTCTGTTACCGTCGCTTCTGCTACCCCCAGCAGTAGCTTTGGTGTCAGAGCTTTCTTTAATTTCCGTGTTAAGGGAACAACTTTCCAGAATTGTATCTAGCACTGTTATCTGATAGGGTAGGTCAGCAGTGATTAGCCCAGGCAGCTTCAGGGTTTCTCCCTTGGACAGCCTGTTTTTGCCTGCACTGGTGATGTTGGTGCTCGTTATTAGATGCAAATTCAGTATTTGTGTTTAAATGTCTGTTCTGTTCAGGTGGTGGTGCAGCACGTGCACTTCGAGGGACTGGGAAGGACCAAAGACGACATTATCATGTATGAAATCGCTGATGTTTTCAAGGCCAAAAATCTCATTGATGTAAGTATTGCAATGAATGTCACACCTCCTGTTTTAAAAATTCAGGTTTCGATTTTCTCTCTTTTTCCTGCTTTGGGCTGCTCCCTTCAGACATGGGGCAACTCTGGCAAGTTTTGTGATGATTCTGATCGTGTGGCACAGAAGCCAAACTGAATAGGAGATACTGGCAGACACTGTGTTTTGTCATGTATTCAGCTCGAAGATGCTGTGAGATGGCAAACAGTACTCCGAGATCTTTTTTCAGCTTTATTTTTAGCATTTGAGAATTGCTAAACTGTGTAGGTGACACTTTCAGCTAATTTGCTTAAGATAAACGACTGGATCTCGGCACAGATGGATCCTCCACGGAGGATCAGAGTGTGAGTTAGGCTCTTTGTGGTGGCAATTTTTCCTGGAGCATGGCTGGCAAAAAAGACCTGTGAACTCTAATTTAAACAAATTAGAGCGTTTGGGGTTTTTGCCAAAAGCAAGTGCCCCGTAAATACATGCATAAGCTTTAACTATGGAAATCTATTTGACTGGTAGGTTTAGGTATTAAAACAACAGGGAAGCAAGCTAACAAAAGGTAGGAACTGAGCTGGATGCTCAGGTTTGGGGTTTTTTGTACAGATTCAAGTGTTGAAGTGGTTGTGATCGCCTTTGAAGACTCATATACGTGTCTTTGTATACATCTGTGAAGATTTTGTGACCTAGCTGCACTTTAACTATTTTATCCTAGTTATTTTTTGGTAACCTGAAAGACTCCAGCGGACTGGGTGATCTTTGGAGGTCCCTTCCAACTCAAACTCTGTTATTACTCCACGATTCACCGACTGAGCTATTTAATCTCATCCTGTAGGTAATGAGAAAATCGCATGAAGCTCGTGAAAAGCTGCTTCGTCTGGGAATCTTTAGACAGGTCGAGGTTCTGATTGACACCTGTCAAGGTATGTATTGCCTCATTAATCCTCACCTTTCTTCTCATACACACCCAGACACGTGTATATTTCCCCAGGTAATAGGGTGGATGTTTTTTGTGTCCTTAACTTACTCTCCCATATGTCTTTATGTAGTTTAGATACACATGTAGTGTGCTGTAGAGATAGATATAAATGAATGTATGTGTCTGCATCCAGTAACCTTACGAAAAAGAGATATTTGCCTGTGTCTGTGTGTATACAAACATTATATGCAAAAATGAGTGAATTTCCAGCACGGAAATAATGACAGTGCACATCCCTTAATCAGGACTCTCAGAGGAGCATGCGAGGAAAAGCTTAAAAACGTGTCCTGTACTTCCATCTATTACACATCCCAGAACCAGCATCGTGTCGGCACGGCACACCCTGGGTGCTTAAGGCAGTACTAGTCATTGTGTCAGTCCTTGGGATGAAAAATCGGCTCGTAGTGTTAGTGGGGCAGGTGAACGTGTGTGGGTTTCACAGGAGGGTTCTGTGGACGTTCCTGTGGTGGCTTCCAAAGCCGTTGCAGCAGAACGGCGTGGGGTTGGGAAGGAAATGCAGTGCAGCCCCCCTGGTTGCTGCCCCGTGGGCTTTGGGCAGAGTTAGGTGCCCTTGAGGGCTGGGGTTTGGAGCCACTGCCCTGGCCGGAGCCCCGAGGGACTGGGACTGGGACTGGGACTGGGACTGGGGTGGTTCCTGTCCTTCAGCACTTCCTGCAGAGCGCTGGGAGCTCTGCCCTAGGGATAGCGTTCTTCTTGCCCTTCCTGGAGCACTTTGATCTCTCGTTATGCTAATGTCAGAATTTGTGTACGTCGTTGGGTTTATAGGTAACAGCCAAATGTTACTATTTCACAACTAAACTGACATGTTGATGATTAAAGCCTTTGTGCTAGGATTGAACCAAATTCTGCACCTCATATCCAAACAGCATCTTTTTCTTGAGCCATTTTTCTTTGTAGTGCAGACTTTGATTATCATTTCATTCAACCAGTTTTCAAATAATTCCAAGTCGTCTTCTGTCTTTACTTTTTTTTAATAGGTCTTTAGAGATAACATACGTTTGTTTGGTCGTTGATGCAGGAGATGATGCCCTTCCAAATGGTTTAGATGTTACCTTCGAGGTAACAGAATTGAGAAGACTAACGGGAAGCTATAACACTATGGTTGGCAACAACGAAGGCAGTATGGTATGGATTATTTCAAATAATTATTCATCCCTTTTGATACTCTTCTTACTTTCATGTTTCAAACCTAGGAAGGAGTTTGGTGATCCAAGCCAAATTATTTTCTTGATCCAGCTTTACTAAGGCTTTGCCAGACCATTGTCTCTGCAGAGTCTTTGTATTAGTCAGGCTTTCATTCAGCAAAAGCCTGTTTTGGGCATTTAGGGAAAAATGCTGTAGCTTCCAACTCAGTGTGTTAATTTTTTAATTCTTAAGATGACTTAAGTCATTTCTTGGTAATATTTAAGATGCTTTATCTGCTGGAGAGATGAGTAAGGGCTTGGCGTTTCATTTCTATTTAAAGTGTTCTCCTTGTCCTTGATTTTCACTATTTTAGCCCAGTACCAGTTATCCCAGGCCGCAAAGTGCAAGGTTTTCCAGAACCATACAAACTGTGGAACTTGTTCCCATTTGACTTGATTTAAGGATGCATCAGATTAGAATGCTGTGTGACAAATATTTACGGATTGACACAAAAACTAACAGCCGTGGTGGTGCTGTGTCAGTGTGAGAGAAGTGCTGGTGTGGGTCGATTGTGCTCTTGGGTGCTCGTTCCTGCACTGCTCTGCCGGCGGCTGCTGGATGACCCGGATCAGGGACTCAGCCTTCTCTCCTTAGGGGTATCTTTAACCTGGGTAAGATACTGTGTGACTCAGGTGCTGGAGTTCTGTGAGCACGGGCAGTTACTGCTGCCAAGAGCCATGTCCAGGGTGTCAGACCGGTGGGGAATCCCACCCGCGGGTTCTAGAGTGTCTGAAAACAGGCTGAAAGCTGCTGTGCTCCTACTCGGCTTTCCCCTCTTTTGATTTTGTTACAGAGAAGTGAAACATCTCGGTGATAAAAAAGCATGACTTGTGTACAGTGGTATGGGCGGCAGAGATTATGTTTCTGTAGGAGTTAGATTTGACATCTCTTTAATCCCACAGGTTCACCTGAAGTCTGTAGATCTGGCGTTTCAGCCTTAGAGCCCGTTGGGTTAGGGGTACCTGGCTGGCTGATGAGCGCGTCGCAGCCAGCAGCACAGAGTCCCGGGGGCTGACCTGCCTCCCTGCTGTGCGAGGAGGGCGGGCTGGATCCCACGGGCTCTTCGTGTTCTTTTAAAACAGAGCAGGGGCCAGGAGAGCAGCCCGGGAGCGTCTGTGCCCGGAGGAAACCCGCTCCACCCCTGCTGCCAAAGGGCCAGGAGCTGCCGCGGGGTTACGGGGAGTTTGTGTCAGAACAGTCAGAAGTGTTTAACGAGTTTCTGGAGAACTGTAGCGATAGGCTGTACTGCTGTCAGGACTGATGGCAAAAGCCTCTGGTTACTCGAAACAGAAGTAAGAGGGGAGTGACTCTGTGGTGACAGTTTTCCTTATCTCCGGGTTCTGACGGGCCCTGCTCAGAAGGAGCTTTCCTGGTGTCAGCTGGGAGCTCTGCAGGCGCTGAGCAGCTCCTGTGCGGCAGAGACTTCCTCTCATGGTGTGGGGCTGGCTGGGAGATTTTGTTTGAAGTAACAGCAGTACTGGTGACGCAGTGAGAACGCAGGTTAAGTCAGCAGCTACTGGACAGCAATAAAAAGCGGGTGAGTAGCTGTAACTCGTGATAATGTCATGGCTTCTGCTGCCAGCACACAGAGAAACCTACTTTAAATTAAAACGTGTTACAACTCTCTTTAACACCTTTGTTTCTCATTCTCATCGTAGATGTGTTTGTCTTCAGCATACAATTAAGATGCACACAGCAAGCTATATGAATTTTTTTTAAATTTTATTTTTCGTAGGTACTTGGCCTCAAATTCCCAAATCTCTTTGGCCGTGCAGAAAAGGTAACCTTCCAGTTCTCCTACGGAACAAAGGAAACTTCATATGGCCTGTCGTTCTTCAAACCACAGCCTGGCAAGTTTGAAAGAAAGTAGGGGATGCTTTTTTGAGTACTTTTTTTAGTGAAGGGATGTAAAACAATTAGTAACATCTTTCAGTGAATAATAATTCAATTTATCCCTTTGCTGAGGGGCTGTTAATAATGTAGCAGAGCTGGTTTCTTAAGTTTTTGTGATAATTTAAAACTCCACTTGCTTAAATAGTTTCACACCTGCCAGTAACGTTGTGTTTCAGTTTTTCAGTTAACCTGTATAAAGTAACGGGGCAGTTCCCTTGGAGCTCTCTTCGGGAAACTGATAGAGGAATATCGACAGAATTTAACGTAAGTGGAGCACGTGATTCGTGGGCACTGAATTCAGGTCACAGCTGGTGTTGGCAAATGTTTGCTTTACTCTTGTAATGATGGAAACACGTGGGCACAGGGCTGACTGCCGTTATCTGAAAGAGGTCAACAATTTTAGAACGACAGGGGTAATACACCTGAGTGCTTTTGTTAGAATTCAATCTTATTTTGGCCATGTAAAAATACCAGTGTGGGTTTTCTCCAAATTTTTAATGTTTAAAGCATTGTTTCAGAGAGGCAGCTGACTGTACCAGCCCGGTTTGGGATGGTTTTCATTTGGGAGGGTTCAGTAGTGCACACCTGCTTGAGGGAACACTTGGCTGGAGCAGAATTAACGTGACTCTGAAATGGAAAAGGGTTTCTCTTTGATCTGGGAAGTTCGGAAAGAAAAAGAATAGACTGATGTATAAATAAAGCTCAGAGAGAAAGACTTTTCAGGGTGTAACGTTTTAATTTTGTAGCAGAACTTTTTTTCATGTCTTAATTCTTTATTTGTAGTTTCCAGTCTGGAAGACCAATCACACACTGAAGTGGGAGGGTGTGTGGAGAGAGCTTGGCTGCCTTGCTAGAACAGCGTCCTTCTCCGTTCGAGAAGAAAGCGGACACTCTCTTAAATCTTCTCTCTCTGTAAGGCCTTTTCCTGGCAATTCTCAAAACCGCATTATTTTGAGTCACCTAATAGTTCAGAATGATACCAAAGCAGCTTTTTGTCGTAGTAGGTAGTGTGTTTTACTTGAGAGCTCTCTTGCTGTGTGCGGCGGTGCGGGCAGAGCCCGGGGGGGCAGGAGGAGGCCTTTCCCTGGCTGAGCGTTGCGTGCTGGCTGTCACACGGGCTGGCGGCTGCTTCCCGCGGGGCCTCCCTCTGCCAGCTCCTTCTGCACAGTTGGTTCGTGGGAGATGGGGTCAGGACATTTCCTCGTCCTACCTTGTTGTCCCTTTCTAAATATTCTTTCCTCTAGCAGTTTTTGGTCACTTGCCATCTTTAACGTGTGACATACAAATTGGAGGAGATAAGCTGTTTGCAGGTGACAGCACAGAACTGGTGATGTACACTGGGGCGTTGTTGCTGCTGTATTCTGGTCTGTACCACGGCCAGGAGGTACAACTGTGGCCTCTGAATTCAAAACTAAGTGGTTCTGTAGGTGTGTTGTTCTCAAACCCATGAAGCTACCCTGGCCTTAGTCAACCCTGGGGTTGACTTCCACTGTTTGTGCAGGTTTTGAAGGAAAATAATAGTGTCACTCTGTGGTATTCAACAAATACAGGAACCTAAGCATAATTTTTTGATTCTTTTCAGCATGGCATGGTAATTGATTCCCGTAACTCCTCAATCTTGCCAAGACGAGGTGCTTTGCTGAAAATTAATCAGGTACTATTAAATCACTTATGCTATCATTGGGTTTTATTGGTGTGCTTGAGTGAGTCTTAATTTATCCAATTGATGTTCCTGTTAAAAATGTCTAAAGCTAGAGATCAGTCGTAAAGTGGCTCAGATAGTGATGACCAGGGTTTACTTTTTATCTTTACAGTGTGTGCCCTTTAAAATCATTAAGCCTCTTTTGTGGTGGCAAATTTTCATTTGTATACCATTGGTCAGACAGCACAGCCATTTTATCTCCCCGTTAGCATTAAATGATTAGCTGAGATTTGTCATCCCCAGCAGTGTTTACACTTCACAGTAGGTATTAGTCCTTGTCTCCTAACACGGCCCCGTAAGACCACCAGACTGTGGTCCTGTTGCTGCTTACAAAGTTTGCCAGTCTTAAAAATGAAAGACTGGGTACAGATACCTCTCAGAAGGCATACACGTGTATCATTTTGACCCGGAAAATGTTTTTTTGCTCTTGTTACTGTCAGCTTTTAGGAAAGCTGGCTCTCTGCTGTGTGGGGTGGTGCTCAGAAGCATTAAGCTCTGCAGCGCTTTGGGATCCACTGCAATCAGAAGTGCTGCTGTTCCTGTCAGCAGCAGTGAACTGCTCTGGTTCTGAGTAAGAGCGGTCGTTATAATTCAGGGTTTAGTTAACGTATCGTTTGTGGCCTCAGACACTTCAATTGTCATTTTTGACCTGCCCGGCTGTAGTACGTTAGGAAATCTGCTCCGGTCTAGGTAAATACAGTGAGAGTTTTCATTTTGGGTGCAGGATTTTCCAGCTCCGTTCTGGTTTGCTCTCATTTACAAAACGTCTCAGAACGCAATACCTTGGTTCAATATTTGGAGGAGAGAAATGCAGCTCATTGTTCTGAGGGTCATGCATGGCTTTTCACTGCTCCAAAATCCAGTTGTTTCTCTGTAGCAGCGATTCTGTATTTCTCATAGGGAAAACTCTGCCTGTGCTGGTGCAGATGTGATGAGCTTGTGGAGGGAAGAAGCGTGTAATGCCCGTTACAACTGTCAGAACTTGTGTCTTCGCAGGAGCTGGCTGGCTATACAGGCGGGGACGTGAGCTTTCTGAAAGAGGATTTTGAATTTCAGTTGAATAAGCAACTTATCTGGGATTCGGTAAGTTTTTGAAAGATGTTTTAGTAATTGCTGTGAGTTAGCAAATGAGGTTTTTGGTTCCATTTCTTACAGTTTTTCACCATGGATTAGAAAAATATGGAAGTGAAAGATGGATGGTGTAGGTACCTTGATTTATTTTTTTTGAAAGTGATATCTTGATTTGGGTTTTTGAAATTGAAATACTCTTTTATTTTCCACCTGATGTTCCAGCCACGTACAGTCGCTAGAGAAGTGGCGTTTGTAAAGATTGGCTTGATTGACAGTTAACCACACCAACTATTTTCCTTTCAGCGGTAATGCTGAGCATGTCTGTTCTTTGGGATCGTTCTTAAGAGTGATTTTTCAAAAACTTATTGCAGGCTTTGTTCTGTCTCTTTCACCTGCTTATGAATCATCTGACTAATCTTGGTTTAGTTTTGTCACTGTAAATTATGCATATATGACCACTAATTTCGGTGTCATAGCGTGTAATTATTTCTTCTATATAAAATTATTGGGAAAGAATGGGAAGACTGATTTCACTACAACGCTAAGCTTGCACTACAACGTTTTGTTCACAGTGAACAATTTAAGTCCCAGTAAGACAGACACGTGGTACCGTGAGCAGGTGAGGTGCCAGCCTGCCAGAACACGTCACCATTTTTATGGTGTGCTCTCCACATCAGTGCTTTGCTGTGGAGTCACTGGGTGGGTTTGAAACCAGTTCCTGTACCATCATCCCTGGCAGTCTTGGTTTGGTTGGCAGAGCAGTTCTTGCTTACACCAACCAGATTGCTTTCAGAGGAAACGACACTCCAGGTTCAGGTTTAATGAACTTCAGCTTCTTTCGAGAACAGAGAGATCTTAAGTTTCAGGCAGTTTCAACAGCCTAGATCTAGTATTAGGTGGAAATAGGGGTTTTTTTCTGCTTAGTGAAATAAGAATTTCAATATATCCTAGACATATTTCTGTCTGTATTTAGAAGGAGGTTCTTGTCTCACAGCTGAATGGGGAATTAAGCAGCAACTTCCATTAGGAAGATTTAAAAATCAGAGGTTACAGTAATTTGCATCCCAACACACTAAAACCAGAAGCAAAAAGCAATGAGAAGATCTCTGCCTCTTGATAGCTTTTGAGGAAGTACTGGAGCAGTGAGGGGGTTCTAGGAGACCAGAAGAATGGGAGCGCAGTGCCAGCTGCCGACAGCTCCCGGCGGCTCCTGCCGTGCCGAAGCTCCCGAAGTGGTGCTGGGGCTCTGCCGGCCTGTGCTCTCCTCCTGCTCTTCCGAGGCGACTCAGCGCAGGGAGGTTCTGGGCCGGGAGCAGCGAGGCTGATGCAGAGGGGCTTCGTGAGGCTGTTTGCTGTACCCCTTCCCTGTTGCATCGTTACATTTGCACCTTCCCTGTGGTGGGAGAAAAGGCACTGCCTGGTGAGTGCACTGCTGATCTTACATTTATTTCCTGATTTGTGGCTGAAAGACAGCGTGTGCTCCTAGGAGGGCATTTAATGGCTTCGTGGCCCTGCCAGGAGGACTTTACTCGCCCCTCTGCCCGCTGCCGTGCCCGCGCTGTGATGGGCAGGGGAGTGTGTCCTGTCACAGGCTCCACGTCCCTTCGTGCCACCCCGGATGGGCCTGCGTGCAGCTGCATGCTGCACAGGCCGTGTACTGACCACAGATCTCACCGGCGGGTACACAGGCAGCAAGGAAATATTAATTGTATTTATTACAGTGATTTGGTGCCCAAGAATTACTGTGTGGTAACGCTGTATGTGTATTTGAAGTCAACGTAGTGACTTGCAGAATTGGTTTCATTTAATTATTAGGCTAGTTTATAGACAGGTAATAATTCTACATTTTTGGTAGCTATTTGCTGGACTTGGCCTCCTACGGGTTTAAAATTTTCAGGTGTAATTTATGTCAGCAGTGTTACTTCAGGACATGAAAATTCATAAGAAAACAGGAGCTGGATGCATGTTCCCGTTAGCTGTTGCGCGAGCAGCCCTCGGTTCCGATGCGCTGTGCTGACTTTCTCAGACATAGCACTGCAGAAAAGAAAGAGGGCAGCAATGATCAAGAGTTCCCTGAAAACACTGGTGGTGCGATGCTCCTGCAGCTTTCTGTCAGACTGCTGGGAGCTCTGCCTCTTGCTGAGGGATGAAATGTTACTAATGCTTTTTTTAGGGAAATTAAGTCATACGTATTAATAAACAATTTCTTTTTGTCTCCAAAGGTTGTTTCAGCATCACTTTGGGGTGGAATGCTAGTGCCTATTGGAGACAAGCCATCCAGTATAGCTGATAGGCAAGTTTCTAAAATGTTTCTTATTTTTTTTTGTAGTGGACTCACGTAGTGGATAAAGAAAACTTTAGTAGAAGAGAGAAGCAGTAGTAGTTCTGGTTCTGATGAGAATAAAATGATTCTAATTAGATTTAATTGCGTGTTAGAAATCAAGCCATGCCTTCTGGTTTTGATTTTCGTATTGGGGTAACATAAGTTCATAACTTGCTGTGTAGTAGCTCTGCCTGCCAATGTTTATGGTTGCAAAATGGTATTTAGAGTCTGCAAAATTTTGTATCAGGCATAGGTAACACTGTAGGTCTTTCTAGAAGTAAAGCCATTTTGTAACTGTTGGCTTTTTAGCCATTTTTGCTCTCTAAGACCTGGGTTTAAAGATCACGAGCAGAAACTGTTTGGACTGAAATTTACAGTAAATACCAAGTGTCAGCTTTGCATGGGATAGATCTAAACTGTGGTATTTGTATCTAAATGATTGCAACAGGCAGAATCAGACAGTACTCTGATTCTTCTTCAGTGCTGGGGATCCTTCTGCTTTGATCTTTGTAAGGGAAGGCAGACTGATTTTTATTTTTAATACTTCCATTTATTTTGAATTTCTTGCCAAATGCGTCAGGATTTAGGTTTAGCTATAATTTCTTGTATTTCTTTAAATACGCTTTACTAAACCTGTGACGAAGTTACCTGTAACTCAGCCATAAATCTTAATGCTGCTTTGCTAGATATTTTGAAGTCTGTCTGTTCTGGTGAAGCATTAAATTCAGTTTGTTTATCTTCACTAGGTTTTACCTTGGTGGACCAACGAGCGTGCGTGGATTCAGCATGTACAGCATTGGACCCCAGAGCGAAGGTCTGAAGCTTCTACATTCCACCCCGACAAGACTGTAAATCTTAGTGTGTCACAGAGTCAGATTCTGTCCTTCAGCTTTGTATAGCTTAAAAATAATCACACTTGGTCTGCACTTGGGATCTGAGAGGTGTTAGTCTCGATCTGTTGCTGTGTATTAGTTCAGGATGGACTGCAGCCCACTAGTTCTTAGTTAAGCCATAAGCTGATTTTGTAAACCCAGTGTATGTTCACACGTGCACACTCCCAGTATGTCACTTCAGTTAGTGAGCAACCTTCAAGCGGAAAAAGCTCCCAAAGAGGGTTGTAGCAACGGTGACGTTAAATCTCTGTGATACACGGAATGTCCCGGTAGCTCAGGGCACATGAGTCTGGTCAGCCAAGGTGTTTGCGGAGCCAGGAGCTTCCTCAGTTCCATTCCTTACTCTGCTGCTGACTCGCTGTTCAGTGGGCCCCGTATTCAGTATAATTTTAAAGCTAATTGTTGAATTGTATCAATTTCCCATTTTTAAAACAAAGACAAGTACTTTAGAGGTGGTCGGGAGGTAGTTTTTGATGAACCACAGGCAGGGCTGTGCCTCGGGCATGGAGGAAAAGGGCACTTCACTTCGAAGGTTTAAAGAATTGTGTTTAAAGAAAAGCGCTGATTTTTTTCCTGGACAGTGGTGAGGTTGGGGAGAGCTAGAAGGAAGCGGCCGGAGTTGTAAAGGGTAGAAGTGCACTGTAGAACAACTTCAGGGTGTGTTCTTGTGCCTTTATCACCTGGTTCTTTTAATATATTCCACAGTGAATGCTTTTATTCCAACATTGTACTAACTAGGTGATTACCTGGGAGGAGAAGCCTACTGGGCTGGAGGCTTGCATCTGTACACCCCTCTGCCTTTCCGGCCGGGCCGCGGAGGCTTTGGGGACCTTTTCCGAACACATTTCTTCCTTAATGCTGGAAACCTCTGCAATCTTAACTATGGTAAGACTCGGCAGAATTGTGTAGAACAAAACCTGCTTCTCTATGTACAGAACCAAACAGGAGAGGAGAGCTGTTCTGTGTCTGTTCCCTCAGAGTACTGAGTATCTTTTGGTGTCAGTCAGAAAGCTGCTGCTATAACTTGTGTACCTGACAGAGTGCTGGTCATTTTTTCAGCGCTCTACATAAATTCTAGCACAACCTGTAGGAAGGAGAGCTGGGATGGTAACAGCAGTGCCTGTGAATTGAGGGCGTGATCGTTGAGGAACCTCTCACGCTGCTCTGAAGGGAGATGGAAGGGTGATGTTTTAGGGGCATTCTGATGTTTACAGGGATGAGCTAAATAAAAAATCAGTGGCGTTAGAGCGTGGATGAGGGAGTGCTAGCTATGTGACTTATTTTTCCCTCCCATCCCCAACTTTTTTCCAGATACGTGTCTGTACTAGCATATGACTTTTCACTGGCTTTTCAGTCAGTTTGGGGACAGAGTGGTTGGTATTTGTCTGCCTCACGTGATGGGAGAGAGGCGGCATCCATACCAGGAGGGGGGACGCTTTGTGCGCAGTTGAAAAGCAGATTAATCAGCTTTAAAACTAATAGAGACCCCCTAAAGAAGTTTAAGTCTTTAGTACTCATTTCCGTGTTCATGAAGGTAGGTACCCCGTGGTGGGGAACAAAGATCAAGCAGCAGTCCAGGTAAAATCGTAGTAGTTTGAGTCCAAGGCCCTTGGCATTTATGGGAGTTGTGGGTAGTAAATACCTTCTGAATCTGGAGCAGCCTGTCTTCAGGCGCTGCGAGCACCCTGCCACCTTCTCTGATTCTTGTTTGCCCCTCTGCGTTCAGGCGATGGTCCCCGGGCTCACCTGCAGAAGCTGGCAGAGTGCATCCGCTGGTCTTACGGCGCGGGAGTGGTGCTCCGCCTCGGCAACATCGCCCGACTGGAGCTCAACTACTGCTTCCCCATGGGAGTACAGTCTGGTGACAGGTTTGGTTTTCACACCAGTTTCTGGTTTTAAAGGGTACTGCGCTTCCATCTGGTTTTGTTAGAGACAGTTGCTGCCTTGTGTTTATTCTGTGCCAGTGCAGGGACTTTTCTTCCCTTGCAGCTGCTCTTCCAGCTCGCTGTATTCGTTTCACAGTACTTCTTGGTTTAAGACTTTGTTTCTCAGGATTCAAAGTTCATCAAGCTCGAGACCAGCTGTGGAAATGTATGAGTAGCTGTGGAGTAGGTTTTATTTCTTTAGAGGAAATGATAACTCAGCTCATGGGATTTTCTTAAGCCTTCCAAAAACAAATGGTTGGATAAATACCAAGTTTAATGTCTTCGCTTGAAAAATGAAAACACGTTTAAGTATAGATAAAGGGAGAACAAATTAATTTGTTAGCAACCAATTATCCTACATCAAGCAAATACAGTACTCAATAAAAAAAGCTTCAGGGGGCCTGTTCTTGCCTGGGAAGGCTGTGTGAGGTACCCTGTATTTCATACAGAAGTTGGATTAGGTTTCTACTTGTCATTCGTGTGAAATGTGAATGAGTAACAGCAGTTTGAAAATCAGCGGTTTTAATCTGCTAATGCTCCGTACAGATGGCACAGTGGCAAAGCATTTGTTTTAAGAAGCCTTTGTCAGCTAATTGTAGCTTTCCAAAGATTGAAAACCTTGGGAATTCAGGGATAGGGAGAATTGATTTTAATTTCATCAGTACCTATATATCACTTATGCTGGTTGTTACTTGTTTCTTTTCAGGATATGCGACGGTGTTCAGTTTGGAGCAGGAATCAGATTTCTATAATACAGCAACATTTTACAGAAGTGTACGAAGCTGTGCTCTGTAGTTGAAATCAAGACTGTAACACAGCTCAATACGGTCTAACTTTTCTCTTGAAATACAGCTGCACATCTGAGTGATTTACCTCTCAGACTCCACAAGAAACTACATTAAAGAATTACGTGCTAAAGGTCCATTGTACCTCTGATTCTTATCAAACGTGGGGAGGCGTTTCTAGTACTCTGCCTGTTTGAACTTACAGTTGTTCCTTAAAACGTTAGAGGGTTGTGTAGGAGTCGGCTCTTGGATCGCGTTCACATGGTTGTAGTTGTCGCTGCCCAGCCTTTGCTCTTCCAGCCCCACGTCCCACGAGTGTTGGGATGACCAAGTGTGAGTACGGCTGGAGTGGAAATTAAGGGGAAACAGTTTTTCCTCCATCATCAACTTCTGTGAGCAAATGAACCTGAAAAAATTCCATTGGGCATCAAAAATTGTTTTATACAACTAATGGTTGTCAGTGAACCACAACGTTCTGATCTGAGCGTGTTTCACTGTTGTAAATCCCCTCTATTTAAATGCCCCCTGCAATCTGAATTGCACACTGCAAAAAGTGAAGTCAGCTGTCGAGCACAGCAAATACTGAAATGTAAAAATAACTTTGGAAGGTTGAGGGTCCTCAGCTCTGCCGCAGTTTTGAGTGTTTTAACGCCCCCAGTGAAGCTGTTGGGTGTGGCCTTGCAGGCGCAGCTTTTTGGAGCAGCTGCCAACAGGGACGGCTCGGACTTCATCACGTGCTGCTGCCTCGTTTGCCTCAGTGCTGACTCTAGGTGCTAACTGCACTTAAACGTGACCTCCTGCTGTATCGCTTGGCATATATTCCAGTTTTTGTAGTGTTGAGCTAATTCACTAGTTTAGTCCTAGCGATTTCATCTTTGAATACAGTTATGCTTTAATTTTTTTTTTTATATGTATCAATCCTGAGTTGTCAGCCTAAGAGAATCTGAACTTAGAATCCACTTCCCCTGCATCTAAATTTACATTTTTTTCTTTTGTTGTTAAATGTTGGAAAATTTAAAATCATAATACAAAGAGGACTCTGGGAGAGTAGATGAGAAATACAGAAGCTGTTATACTCCCGCGTTGTTCTGCTCTGGTAAGAAGCCTGGTTTGGCCATATTGGGCCCTGCCTGAGTGCTGGGCGCTGCCAGCAGATCTCCTCCCCAGCCAGGTCAGGGCTGGGACTGCGCTCTCCAGTGCGGGGTTTTACCCGTGGCTTTAGTGCTGTAGAGATGTCAGCTGTTGCTGTAAGACAGTAACTACATCTGTTTATGTCGACAACTCACTTTCCAAAATACGAAGGCTAGAAACTGGTCTGCCTAGTTTTGCAGGGCTCCGCTTGACTAAACATCCTTCCCTTCTTAGAGACCTGCGGCAACAGGCTCATGGATGTTCAAAACACAAAACTCTGTGATGACAGAGGTCAGGTCTACTTCAAATACCAAAATTCAATATAAAAAAACTTTTCCAGTGTGTATCTAACAGCTGCTGTAGCAAATACATTTTCAACATAGCATTTCTGATGATTTTTGTTGTTGTTATGAGATAAAATATGACACTATGTTAAGACTGTCAACAGATGTTACTAGTTTTTCTCCAGCACTGTCTATGTTTTGACATATAAAAATATTTTTAATGGGAATGTTTAGATACCAAAGTAGTGTTAGGATTTTTTGTGATGAGTTCAAAGTTTAGTTTGGCCCTTTTGATAAAATCAGATGTATTCTGTTGCCTTGAGAACTCTTTTTTTCGCGTGTGTGGTTTGTTGCTAAGGGCTGCTCGGGTGTAGCACTTTAATCCTAGGTGGGAGAGCCCTCAGCGAGTATCAGTTGGCCGTTTCAGAGGGTGTAACATCTTCCTGAGCTGGGCAGCCCGACAGAATCAGCCTCAACCTCAGGTTTCACACTAAGCAGCACCCGGCCCGCCGTGAAGTTCGGAGCAATCTGTGATCTACCTGAGGACTAAGGGATGAACGGGGCCAGCTGCTGGTGGCTGCAAAGGCTTTCCAGGCTGAGGGAGCCCGCTGCACCCCCCGTACGGCACTGGCCTGGCAGAGTACCTCGGAGAGGCTCTGGAAATACTGTTACTGGATGTATGTTTTATGACAACAGTGCTAAATTGCTGTTGGCAACTGCAGGGCTCTTGGATGATTTAAGTTAATTGGGGTGAGACTTAATGCTGAGTGTATTCTGTGCGAGTCGGAGCAGTTGGCTTGCTTCCGTCGAGCGGAAAATGCAACCTGGACTGCAGCTGATGGAGCTGTTGTCTGCATGGAGTCAGTGGTCTCTAAAAGTCTTCCAGTTAGACGGAACACGTAATATAAATTATTCTGAGGCAAATCAGTAGCATGAGTTAAGCGGTACATTTCCACCTCAATATTAACTAAGTAATGTTACTAAAGACAACCAACAACCAAAACAAAATCCCCCCAAACTCACATTTTCGTTCATTTGGTAGACCAGGAATAAAAATTAACTATAACTTTCTTGTCTGTGAGGTATCTGCTGTAGGAAAATCGGTAGAGGTGTTGCTAAAGTAGAAGATCATATATAGCAAATAACTATGAGAGACCATAGAGTCAGCCAGCATTACTTCATGACACATCTACTTACAGTAATCTCTTGTAGTAAACTGCTGCAAAGCTACAGTAGAGGAAACAGAAAACCTATAAAAAAGGTGAGCAATGTTAAAATAAGCAAATGTGAATTCTGATTTTGAATGTTCCGCTGAATGTTAAAGCTAATGGTTCAGGGCTGAAATTAAAACCAGAATTCAAACTAGGTTTAGTCTTTCCAGTGTATTCTCTATTTCTGAAAGACATGTTTATGCTCAGACAGATTTGTTAATGAATCCACGCTCACGGGAGTCATCCCTGAGAAGAGGTGGGGGGGTACCAGGGGGGATCTTCTGGGGTGTCAGGCGCTGGTACCTCATTCACTGTGGAAGGTGCAAACGAGGAACGAAGACGGACGGACCGTGCGCTTGGAACTGACGGCCCGGCAGCCCCTGCCGGGTCACCTCTCAAGGCCGTCAGCCAGTCAGGTTCTTAAAGACTGACACGCCCTTGATGAGAAGCACGGATGGAAGCTCTTCATTTCCTACTGAGAAGAGCCCGGTTTGTCTGAACCACCATAACGGGACTCAGAATGCCCCGAGGTTTGGGGTTGTATTTCTTGAAGTGTAATTTTACCTCCTTCTGCTACAGGCTCTCTCTTCTTGTCTCAAACAACCCGGCCTCCTTTTACTTTGCAATAGGCTGACGTACTACTTAACCTACAAATTTAAGCCTTTCTTTATAATAGGATGTCAAAGTTGGGGGTGAATGGATCTTTCTGTTCGGTTTTATTTCAATTATTGAAAGATAACTTACTTGTAAGTGATTACATTTTGAGTGCTGCACATGAATCAGTGAAGTTTCATATACTGTTTGGGCTGTGTGTATAGCTTGTGAACCAACTTGTGTGCCTTCCTGCTTGAAGTTTGTACTCGCAGATTTTTCTGATGACAATTCATAAAAACATTCAGGTATGGGAACCAATTGAATTTTACTTCTTTTCCCCAGAGGTTGGGTAAAATGCTTTTTCCGTGCTGCCTTAAAGCTGAACGTAACCTAAGACTTAAGTATGAATCCGATGAAATGAAACATCCGCTCTGCTAGTTCTGCTGCAGATCAGCATCTCTGTGTGGTTTAGTGCTACTAGTGCTTGTCAGATGGATCCAGGTTATTTTTGATGCGTTGGAAGTGAAGCTTGCATTTGTCAAGTGTCTTCTTTGCCTCTACTGGGAGAACACAGTTGACTTCCTTGCTAATTTTGCAAAAACGTAACATAACCTTAAATGGGCAATTTAAGCAACAAATGCCTTTTGATGTACGTCTTCAGCATAATTAAGGCTACTCTGGGGTTTTTTTAATTACCTTTTCTTCCCCTCCTGTTTTCCTGCAGTACTGATTATAACGTTAACTGGCAGTGTAAGGGCTTTGTGCTGCGCAGGAGTGGACGTGACCACCAGTGCTCGTGTTCCTGCAAGTCTCGTAGGTCATGTAAGTCCTGCTCTGTGGAGATTTTGAAAGCGTTCCTCCAAAAAGCTGAAAGAGCTGTATTTGATGGAATTAAATTATTGAAGGAGCGATCCCAGTGCCGCACCACTGCCCTCGAGGGGCAGAGCGGGTGCTGGAGGAGCGTGGCCGCTGCTCTGGGCTATGGGACAGGACTGTGGGCAAGCTGCAGCTGTGGGGCTGACATGTCCCTGGCAAAGTGTGTTGTAAGGGTCGAAGCTGCAGGTATTTGAACGCAGCAGAATGGCTGAAGCGTTTGGAACGCAGATGTACTTTTTCTGCTAGCAAGGGCGCAGGGAAGAGCTCCCTCCTCCACAGAAAAGCAGCATGAAACATTCGCTGGGTATAGCCTGAAGCCTCAAACCCATTTAAGTGAGAGGCAGGTTTGTAACTGGTATTGATCCCAGCCGCAGCAACTTCTCACGTACAGTCTAAAAGCCTTTGCTATGGGCAACACACTCTTGTTTCGGGAAATAGAATTCGTTCTTCCAGAGAAGCACTATTGATAAAAAATAATCATCGCCTTTATGAGCAAACACAAGACAGGCTTATCTTGTGGTGAGGTTTAAAAATCAAGTATTTGTAGGGAGGAGGTAATTTGACTAAAGCTGGGGCAGTGGGCTGTCTAATTAATAACAAACTCCTCCACTTTAAGTTTTAAGCTTACTACACACTCCAAAATCGGCATAGCATAAAGTTCACAGTTTTTTAATGGCATCTATCTATGAGTGAAGGGAAACATTTCTGTCACAAAGCAAAACCCGAGTGTCCTGGTGCAGCAGTAACCCTTAATGAAAATCTGAGCTGGTTAGGGAGGAAGTGAGCACGCGAGATGATCCCAGTGCTCGGTACGTGGGGACACGGAGCCGGGAGATGCAGAACAAGGCTGCGGTCCCTGCAGCTTGCATCAGCTGTGTATTACACGTTTAGTGCAGACAGAGCTTTAGGAAATCCTTTCTGTATGCTCCCTGCAGCAGAGATGACAGGAGGCAATAAAACCAGGACGGAATTGAAAGCCACTGGCAGGTTTGGAACTTGCCAAGGAAACAGGAAGAGAAGTTGAGGTAATAACCAATGTC